CTGAATTGAATCAGATAATACTTGTAAAATTCTGGAAGAATGTTTCTTCACTTTTCTACCCTATTGATGGAGTAATAGCTACAGACACCACACTTTCCAATTTAATTCATTTTAAAATGAATGTATTAATTTATATTTGTATTCAATTTAATTTGTATTTAATTTGTTGATGGTTCTCAACTGGAGAGAGTTGCTGCTTGGGAACATTAAGCAATGGCAAGAGACATCTGCCCTTGCACCTAGGACATCATTGTTGGTGATCCAGTCAATGGAGACCGGAGACCTCCCTCCTTCAGTAGAGACATATCCAGTCTGAGATTTAGAAAATTTGGTCTGTATTATTAATTTTTTCTCCATAAATATATTTTAGACCATCAACGATGTGTTAGGTCAAGCCTTGTAGTGTCTGCCAATTTTGGTGGTGTAAATATCCTCGCTGTGATGGTTAGTTTTGTGTGTCAACTAGACTTGCTCAAGGGATGCACAGACAGCTGGTAAAATGTTACCTCCAGGCACGTCTGCAAGCTCCTCTTGGGGCTTTTATGCCCTTGGATATTACAGCTCCTGGTCCCTAGACCTCCAGGCTCCAGGACTTAAGCCAGTGCCCCCTCCCTCACTCCACTCAGCCAGGCAGCCTTCCGAGGAGTCACACTGCTGTCTCGCTGCTCTCCAGCTTCCAGGTGACTGACTGTGGGATGTACAGGCTTCCGTAGTGGGGGAGCCAACTTCGTCGGAGTCTCCTTCCACATACCAATGGATCCCAGCTTATGAGAATTAGACTTACCATCTTTCTATGACAATTCAAAAATGATTCACTTTCAACAGAGGCCAAAAGTGGAATTTTGAATTTTGACCTCCTTCCCAGGCCAGGCATTTGTGGAAAGACACTCTTCTGAGTTCTAGGCGGGAGCAGCACCCAGCCAGCCCACACAACACAAGGGGACAACTGACTCCTTGCTGCCGTGTCGCGGAAGTAGGACATTTGCTGTGTTTTAGGAGTAGTAAATGCGTTTTCAACTTTCAATGCTCTCAATTTATGATGGGCTTATCACTGTACATTGAGGAGCACCTGTACGTTGATACATATCCTGGTGTTCCTGTTTCTTTGCTGAGGAACTCTGACTAGTCCCCGTTGCTCTCAAACCACCAGTGCGACATCTTTAGGGATGGACTCGGTAAGAGGCGTGCAGTAACACACTACTGTATACCATTGGCACCATTAGGACACAGCAGTCATAAACCCAGGAGCATGAATAATAGTAAAATAAAGACTGATGGGTTCTGCGCACTTACTACTTTTGCTTGTATGTTTAATAACGACTTTGTTTAACAACTCCTTCCCAAAATTCTTGACAACTGAATGCTTGTGGGTCACTACGCACCAGGCTGGCTGCAGTGGCCCTGTGCTGCGAATCTGCTGCTCTCAAATTCACATCTGTCTCCTGCCTCTCGGAAAGATCGACTCGATTCCAGTTTCAGTTTCCTAGAGAAGGGCGCCTGCCATGGGTCGGATCGGGTGTCTGCCCGTGCGCAAGCGGTACACAGCAGCCATGTAAATGTGGCTGGACCCCGAGGGAGCTGGCCGCTCCCCACCGGAGACCCCAGCAGCAGTGTGGCTGTGCATGGAGGGGCACCCAGGACGCACTCGGACGCACAACACTGGCTTCTCCTCGCGTCTCCGGGCTCCGCAGACTGCACTTCTGACTCTGACTCTTCCCCTCTCTTGCCAGAGAGATTACCAAACAATACACCAGTGGTTCTCAGTGTGGTCCCTGGATCAGCAGCGTCTGCCTCGCTTAGAGATTTGTTCCAAAAGGCAGTGCTTGGACCATCTCAAATCTGTGCAGTGAGGAATTCTGAGGATGGAGACCGGAAGTCTATCTGAGAAGGTCCTCCAGATTGTTCTGAGATCAAGAACCACCGTATTAAACACGTGGCATGTCTTTTCTCTTTTAGAAAGGAGCATTTTATCCTTTAGGGTGGCAGTAAAACAAATCCAGGTCATCCTGATGAAATTGGGCATTTCTGTCCCGTCTCCAGAAATGACAAATAATTTCTTAGGTGTATTGCTCCCACAGAGGGACAACCTCATCAATTGCATATTGATTTCTTACTATTTCTTCTTTTAGAAGATGGCAGCCTCCATATACATTATAAATCATGTACATCTAACAGAATTTAACTTTTTGGGGTATAATTTTTGGTTTCCAAGCTTGCTGATAACCTCCTTACAGTTAGGCACTAAATTTTTGTATTTGGTTTAGGCTACAGAATGTAACCTAGGCCAGAGCTCATATATGATATTGAAATACTGGACCGAATAATTATGAAGATTTAAAATTTTTTTCTACCCCTTTGTTTTATTTTATAGGCATTATTTTAAAATTATCATATAAAATTTCTAAATGAGCTTAAAACCTATAAAAATTTCAATAACAATTAAACAGAAAATGACCAATATCTGAATTTATTCCAAATTATGGAATTTTGTACTCAATTCTGGCAAAGACAGTAAGGGTCACCAATGCGTCTCCTGCCTAGATAACAATCTGTCCTCCTAATAATTATGTTCTATGGTTTTGTTATAAGGCAGAGACTACATAGTACATTTATAGCTCCATTATTCTACTTTTAAACCAAATATTAAGTCATGAGCATTCTAATATCACTGAACATTACTGAAGTATATAGTGTTTAAAAGTTCCATATTATTCAGTTGTATGAATGAACTAAAATTTACTTAACCATTCTCCTATTTAGGACCTTTAGGTTACATCCAATATTTCACTTTTTATGGAAATAAGGACTGAGATGTATAATGGATGTTGGGAAATGGGAAGAAAGTGTTTAAATGGGAAGGGGAACAGGGGAAGAGGGGGAGAAAGGAAGGGAGGGACAAGAAAAAAAGTGAAAATAGAAGGAAAAAATGGAAACAAAGCTTCTGTACATAGGGAGGGGAGGGGGCTTGAGGGGGAATAGGATAAAATAAAATAAAATTTATTGAAAATATTTCACTTTTAAAATAACAATGTGGTGAGCGAGGATGCATATTTTAAAAATAAATATATTCTTTTTGGTACTGGGGATTGAACTCCGGTCCTTGCACTTCTGAGGCAGGCTGCAGAACCACTGAGCTAAATCCCCAGCCCGAAATAAATATATTCTTTTGCAGGTAGGATGATCAGTTCTTTAGGGTTTCTAAATTCTCCTGGTCCTCTTTCTTCTCCCTTCTGTGTTGTCAGCTAGCTCACCAGTTTGCGCCTTCAAGTATTCATCTCTGTCACTCCCTGACCTCAGGTCTTAATCAGGGTTTAATGCACATGTTTGCATAAACACCAAAATCAATGAAACTGAAATTTAAAAGGAGCTAGTACTGACAGTTTCCCATCTGGCCAGGTAACCCTTTATCCTCTCTCTAAACTTTATTACTGTCTTTCATCTGTGCCAACACTTCAGGATTTTTTTCTATGATCTCTAATTCCTAAATCAGGGGAATGATAATAAATGACTACTTCCTTATTGAATTATAAGTGATCCAGGGAACAAGAGATCAATGCAAGAATGTTACCATGTAAATTCAAGGACCTTTTCCTTGTAAAATATGTGAAGCTTTCGGAAGCTCTAAAGATCACCAAAGTATAATAGGTCAGAGAGTGAATTAACTTCCTCTATTGTTTATTTCAATAAAAAAATAATTGTTTATAGTAGATATCTTTTAGATGAAATATAACACACATAGCAAAACTTTCTAAGTTGAAATGAACAACCATTTTTATTTTAATAATCATCTTACCTGGTATCAGTTGGCTGAAGCAAATGCTATTTCTCTCCCTTCTCAATGGGAAAGAGTAACATGACAGACTCTCAGTTACGACAACTAAAATTTTAAAGAAATGACTCCATGGCATAGAAGCAAGAATAAATGCATTATAAATGGTTTTTAGGGTTTGAAAATATCTCTGCTAAGCATGGTGGCACACACCTCTAGTACTAGCACACAAGAGGCTGAGGCAGGAGGATTACTTGAGACCATGTGTTTGAGATCAGCTTGAGAAAAATAAGGCGACTCCATCTCAAAACCAAACCAAATCTCTAGCATGTTTTTCCTCTCAACTTGATTTTTATTCTTGGGTTGGGTTTCTTTTTTTTTAAAAAAAAATTCTGATTACATTTCCAATCATGTCATCGAATATCTTGATTGCTAAATGCAGGACCAGAAAAATAATCTCAATCAGTTTGAAGTAACTTGATATGTACACAATCCAGAACTGAGAGAGAGGCGCCGTTGCTTAGAAATGCCTTAAGCGGATGCAGTTGCTGGCGTTTGCAGGACACTTGACAGGCTGGCAGTGGATACTGCCTTTTACGCTGTACCCACAAGCTCATATTATTACTCAAGTCTTTTTCAGTCTGGTGCGTTAATCTTGACAAGCAAGTAACCAGAAACTCTGATGCGAACTTCTAGTGCAGTAAAGATGTTGTCTTAATTCACATAACTAGAGCGTTCTACCGGGAGGCTTTCGGATCCGCCAAGCAGATACAAAATGGTGCAACAGCGATGGAAGAGGCAGCACACGGCTTCGCCGCGGCTCGGGAGACCTGGGTCTGGTCCCCGTGGCCCCTCCACGGGGGATGCCACAGCTGCGCTTCCGGAAGGCGCCGCCAGGGGGCCACATCGGCAGCCGCACCGCCCACGGAGCGTTCCGGGCGCTCTCTCTCCTCCTCTCGCTGCCCCCGGCTTCCACCGGAAGCGGCGCCCTGTTGGTTGCTGGCTGCCGCTGTGGGGCTTGTGGGGTTTGTACGGGGCTGCGGCGCCGCCGGTCCCGGACAGCGAGATGGACGTGCTGAAGTCGGAGATTCTCCGGAAGCGGCAGCTGGTGGAGGACAGGAACCTGCTGGTGGTGAGCAGCGAGCGAGCGGGCGGGCGGGCGGGCAGGGCCGCTCCTTCCGCACCGCCGCCGCCGCGGGCCCCGGACCCCTGAGTGTTCGTAGACGTTCCTGGTGATCCCACGGGGATCTTCGTGTTCTGTCTGTCGGCCTTTACCGGGCAGAGGTTAAGCCGAGAGCCTGGAAATGCGTCTGTGCTCGCCGATGCGGAGTAGTTTCTTCTCTGAGTCGTGAAGAGCTCTCGCAGACGTTTTAAAGCTCTCGTCACACGCTTTACTCTTAAAGTCACAGTGTTTGACGCCCGCTGACTTCGTGCGGCTCTGTGAACATCCTCGAAACTTCCGGGGGCCGAGTTCCTCGGGCCAGGACCTCTTTCATGGGCATCGGGCCCTGGCGGTTGCTGTCCTGACGCGGTGATAGTAGGCTCGCTGTGTTTGCGCAGGGTTGGAGGATTCGTCCGACAGGTGTTCAGGTCTGAGGAACTAGTTTGTCAGAATCGTCTGTGACAAGACCACACTCCGCTTAAAAGCAGCGTCGGCTGAGCTGCGCACTTGCTTGCTTTCGGGAAAAGGCTTTATATACATACACTGATGTCCGGTCACACGGGATGCTGGATTTGGTCAAGGATCGGGACTTAGTAAAATTAGTCATTTCACTATGGGTGGAGGATCCCTGGTCCGAAACTCTAAAATCTGAAATGCTCCAAACTCCCAAACTTTCTGAGTGCCAGCATGATGCCACGAGTGGAAAAATCTCACACCTGATCTCAGTGGATTTTTCAAAACGTAAGAACACTAAAAATTTTGGATGAAGTTCTCTTCAAGCTCTGTGTAAAGTGTGTATGAGATATATATGAATTTTGTGTTTAAATCTGAGGAGCAGCCCCTAGATAACCTTTTGTATAGACAAATATTCCAGAATAAAAAAAAAATTGAAATCCAAAACACATCTGGTCCCAAGCATTTTGAGTAAGGGATGCTCAACCTGTACTTCATCAAGGAAATTACTGAGTGACGTACAGTGACAGTGTAGTGCCACTGCTTTGATTCTTACTAAGGCTTTGGCATATCGAACCCGTCCCTTTTTGCAAATGTCGACAAAATGAATAGGCAAATAATGCAGTACTTTAGTATTAAAAATAGTTGTGACTTCATGAGTCCTCAGAAAAGGTCTTAAAGGACCCATAGAAGTCTCGACCAGGCCGGGTTTAGTTCAGTGGGGCCTTGCCTGCCTGGCAAGCACAAGGTCCTGAGTTGAATTCCAGGTACCAGAAAAAAAAAGTATCTGGGGACCACACTTTGATAATATCTGACTTAGATCTTTGCATGTAGTGTATGATTGATGTATATTTTGTAAGTTAGGGTGGTTATGTTGGTAGTTGGAATATTTCATAGTTGTTGAGACCTGAAAAACAATTACAAAAGTAGAGCTAATAGAATGTTATTTAGTTGGCAAGGTGGAGGGCGGGGGTTTGTCCATATTTTTACCTTGATGTTTTTATTTCTACCTCAGGAACTTTTTCTTTGGATGAATGGTTTGGTAATGTGTTTAGAAACTAATATATGTGTTGAAATGCGTAACTGATGTTAGAAAGGGCCAGAGTGCTGAAGTCTTAAGTGCTTTAAAGGGAAAATTGCCTCACAAAATACTGAGCTCACTCTCAGGTTGTACAAAGTGCACATTTGCATAATCAGGTTCTTTGTTATTGAAGTAGGCCAATCTGTAAAAGTGATCAAGTTTTTCAAAATTTTGCTTCTTAATGACTTACCATCATATATAGACTTCCTGAAATGTCTTTCATTTTTTAATTTGCTAGTTGGTTTACTCAGATAATTCAGCCAGAAGATAAGATTAATTTCCTCAATTATAGGGCAGTTTAGACCAACAAAGGACATACATGAAATGGGAATTAAAGTGCTGAAATCCATAGTTTCTGTTCAAAGTAGTCCTCCAGATGTTATGCAATGCCCTTGATACATGCTAATTTAACTCCTAAGGCACCTCAATAAAGGTATTATTACTGCTCTGCAGTGAGGAAACTGAAGCTAAGAGAAGTTACATGCTTTATAGCTTACAAAACTATGGAGCCTGGATTTTTACCCTGGCCTGCCTCACTTCAAAGCCGGCTAGGAGAACTACTACTGATAAGATGTTTGTATTCACGGATGAGCATAGAATTAGTTTTATAGGACTCATGGAAGGATGTATATGATTTGTATTTTCCAAAGTGCTGTCTCATCTGAATTTTACAACTCTAGTGGATAAGACAAGTGTTATTCTCCTATTTTCATGAGTAGGTTTCTTTTCCCAGTCCTGAATAGATCTTCTCTCAGGTCCATCTTGTGGGTGAGTGCTCTTGCGGAATAGAAGAACACATTTATAACTAGATATCATTTCATATTGTATGCATGGAAAGGGAATCTTTTGATTTGCAGCTGTATAGGGTTTTTGTTGTTTATAAAGACAAGAAAATATTTATATTTCATGTAACATTTGATAAAGAAGAGGCCACATTTAAATAAACACATTAAATCTTCAGAGCACTTTCTTTGCAGTTTTGGACCTTAGACCAAATACACTGATGAATCCATAATTTCTTCCATAATTTACTTTTACTTTTACAGATTGTACCATAATAACACTTGACAGAAGTTACTCATGTGAAACAGTTTCCTTTAACACTGTATAAGTTAACTAGGTGCATACCACAAGAGATTTTGTTGCTGTTGCTTATTACACAGGGAATTCTCATGATTTTAGCTTTATACAACTTGAAGCTGAGACTACATTCAGAAATAAGTTTAGAAAATGGCATTACAAAAGACTGGGAATTCGTGGTAAAAACCCCCACACAGGGCTGCCAGGCTGTAGGAAATTTGCTATTTTCACTGCCACAAGTCTTTGGAGTGGCCAAACTTCGGAGTGGCCAGTCCTCCAAAAAATATGAAGGCATTCTGGAAAAATCCAGCAATTCCAGGATATACTATGGGTTTTTCCTTAGCAACATATCCCCAAACAGAGTCCACATGGATGCGATCAGAGATCCAAAGGCCAGCAGGAAACCAAGGAACAGCCAAATATGAGCACCTGTTTGACCCAGACAACCTTCACTGTACCTATCATCCTGGACTTTTCCATTCACTGCTGCATTAATCATTAGGAAGGCTGTGGTTGGCCTAACACCACAGGCGTGGTATGAGTGGTTGAACTCTTCCATACTGGGATAAATAACAGCTGCATTCATGATAACCCACCAGCCTGTGAAAAACAACACCATTGCCATGGAAGCAGTGGTATTGCACTTTCCCCCCAAATCAGTGCATTCTGAGCATCTCATACCTGCTAGAAATCCAGACATTTTTTTCAGGTCGTCCAGCCCTGGCTGAGTAATAGGTCCGGCGCCTGGTGTCGTGCCGTGGGGCACCCTGCAGCTGTATAATTTTATACAGGATCAGTTACCTTCTAGTTTTTATCTTTCTACATCATAGTGTCCATCAGTAACTTTCAAACTTTTTTCACTGCCCCATCCATAGTAAGAAATATATTTTTTACATCTTGATCTGAGATGTAAAAAATATTTTCATGAAATAATTCTTTCCATACTGTGAATGATTCTATCATGATTTTTTTTTTTTTTTGCTTGAGTCCATCTTTTATTTTTTTAAAAATGCTGGTTAGGAATCAATAAATTTTCATTATCCCATCTTGTAGCTCGAAAAGAGTTGTCTATATATTAATTGCTCTCTTGGAAGAACCACCTTTGGTCATTTCAAGTGGTGTCCCAGCTTTTTGTTGCTAATCTATGATAATTGAAATAATATTTAGCTTGTGAATACCTCTCTGTCAAACTGTGGAGGGACTTTCAAAATATCTTCCTATCACCTGTCCCCAAATACCCTTCCTGCCTGGTAGGACTGCTCTGAAATAAGATGTCGTGTCTGCATTGCTAGAATGCCAGTGCTTTGTAGCCCCTTGTTGGTGAATCTTTGTTTAAAGCCAACCCTCCCTTAGGTGGAAACCCTGGCTGTTCTAGGAACCCAGTGGGGAGCAAGTACTCAGTTTTACTAGTTGTAGGTACAAGGATCAGTTCTGTGGAGAATTTTGACTCCCCCATCCAGTTTATTGAGTGTTTTTTTCTGTGCAAGATAATACACTATGCCCAGAACATTACAAAGAAACGTTCGGAGCTGGGGATTTAGCTCAGTGGTGCCACTGCCTGCCTTGCAAGTGCAAGGTCCTGAGTTTGATCCCCAGTACCCAAAAAAAAAAGAAAGAAAAAAATGTTTGATCCTTTTCTTAAGGAACAAGCCTTTAGTTTTACAGAGAAAATAGACTCCAACAGGCATGGAATTCCTTAACTCTTTCCCTGTTAAAATGGATGAGATAATAATTATATCTTGGGTGAAACCTTTCATCTACAATTTGGATTGTAATTCATCCTTTTTAGCATCATCAGGAACCTGAGTATCAGTTATCCCTTTTCCCCTTGTTTCTTTAGTCTACTGGCTTAGCCCCATCACCAAGGAAGCATACGGGTGCCTCTCCCACCTTTATTTTTTAATTATTATTATTTTTTTTGGTACTGGGGATCGAACTCGGGTCCTTGCACTTGCACAGCAGACAGTGAAACCACTGAGCTAAATCCCTGGCCCTCCTCTCCCACCTTTAAAAAGGTGTGTGTGTCTGTGTGCATGCATGCGTGTGTGCATGTGTGCATGTATCCTGTCCCTTTTATTTGTAGCCAGCTTCTAGAGTGAGTTCTAGTATCCACTGTCTGGTTCCTTAGCCTGCTGCAGTCTGGCTCCTGGCTACATTATTCCACTGATTCTGCTGTAATCGGGGACACCAGTGACCCGCACGTCACACTCATCTGAAGATGTTTGACGCTGTTGACCTGTCCTCTTCGGTTCATGCTTCCTCTTTTCTCTGTCTGAAAGTTGTATATTTTTATGATAATCAGTTACCATTTTGGTTGGGAGCTTAAATAGAGCCTTTGGGTAGATGTCAGAGTATCTATTGGTGCCTTGAAGTTTTAATATGAAGTTTAGCATGTCTGTTTATGGCCCCTTCCCTGTTCGTGATGTTATTGAAGGGTCTTTAGACTCAGAGGCCCAGGAGTGATCATGTGTGTTCTGGGGATTGCCAAGTCTCTGTACCATTTTTCTCTCAGTGTTCCAGCCCTAGAGAACCTTTTTCATCTTTCTGGTTCTTTGAACTTGCCTTTCTTCACATCTGTTCATCCCTTGGCACAGTGTGCTATATGTAATCCTCTCCATTTCCTGTTTCTCAATAGTAGTCAATGAGTTGTTTTTTGGGGTTTTTTGGTACTGGGGATTGAACTCGGGTCCTTGCGCTTGCACAGCAAGCGGCGAAACCACTAAGCTAAATCCCCGGCCCTCAATGAGTTTTTTAGTAGTCAAAAGTTTTTTACTGTAATGGGGAAAATAAACAGTTGTAGGGAGATTTTTGCTGTGTTGATACCATATTTTGACATCTTCTGCGAAATAGATTTTTTTCCTTAATATTTTTCTATGAAAATTTTCAAACATACAGAGTGCTTAAAAGAATTACACAGTGAACATTCACATGTAATTGACGTTTTACTGTATTTATCACCTAACTCTCCACCTGTCCCTTCTCCTGGCCAGTCGCCAGTCTGTCCGGCAATGCAGAAGCTGCGTTTACTGCAGGATGGTCACACCAGGCAGGACACCAGGACGGGTGACAGTGCATTTCTAGCTTTCATACTGTTTTGCTGGAGAGGTGAGCACAAGGTGAATATGGACTGCTTTAGCTGCCACAGAAGAACATTAAAAGCTGGAGCAGCATTTGAAGTGACTGAGGATGAAGCTGCTTGTCTGAAACAGCAGACCACATAAACAAGGGTTTTGTTTGCAGGTAGGGTAATGAGAACTATTCCCTGACTGTTTTGCGTCTCAGATCAGGTTGCCAGCATCAGTGTGCTTTACCCCTAACAGCTGGCATGCGCATCCTTCTCTAGAATCAGTGTTGGTTTGTATCTCTTGTGTGTATGCAAAGGTTTGCATATGACACGTACCTTGTGTTTACTGTTGAGTGAGTTTTGACAAATGTATACAACTGTGTAACTCCGTCTACATCAAGTTGTATGGTAGTATGCTGGGTGATCATACACACTTGTAACCCCAGCTACTCAAGAGGCTGAGGCAGGAGGATTGCAAGTTCAAGGCCGGCCCGGGCTATATACCAAAGTGTTCAAGGCTAGCCTCAGCTATAGAGTGAGACCCTCTCTCAAACAAACACACAAGAAAGCTTGGGGATGTAGTTCAGCGTGACGCCTTGGGTATAATCTGCAGTACCACCACCAAAATATAAGTGATCATAGTACAGTATCCTTGCTCTACTTTCCAGTCATTTCCTGTTCTGTCACCCCCAGAAGCAGCCACTATTTTTTTTTACTTTTTTCAGTCTCAATTTTACCTGCTCCAGAACTTCACATAAATAGGATTATACCATGTAGTCTCATTGGAGCTTTGTTTGATCAGAAGAATATTTTGAGTTTTACCCATTTTGCTGTGTAGCAGGTGTGTGTCCTTTTATTGTTGTTTGTCCTTTGTTACCTGAACAGAGCCAGTTTGCTCTTGTGATGAGCACCTGGGCTTTTTCTAGGATTTGGCTGTTATGATGAGCAAAGATTCTGGGAACCTTTGGGGATAGTCTTCCGCTTTCATTTTCCTCTGGGGTTTCTGGGTCCTGGTGTACCTGTGTGGAGTGTCCTAAAGTGCCCTGCCCGTTTTCTAAAGCAGCTGTACCCTGTCTTACACCTGTCAGCAATGTGAGAGTCCCTTGCTCTGCATCCTTGCCAGGGACTGTGGCCTCCTCTGTAGTGTGCAGGCATCTCATTGGGGGTGGAATTTGCACCTTGCTGATAATTAGTGAGGTTAAGCCATTTCTTGTGCTTCGTGGCTATTTGTACATCTTTGTGAACCATTAACCTTGGTTGTTTCTTGCTTATTAAGTTGAAGGAAATCTTTGTATATCCTGTGTACCAGTCCTTTTGTCAGATGCGTGTTTTGTGACTGTGATCTTCCAGATGATGGGTTATCTATTCGTTCTTTTTTTGGTACCGGGGATCGAACTTGGGTCCTTGTGCTTGCGTAGCAGGCGGCGAAACCACTGAGCTAAATCCCCGGCCCCTATTCATTCTCTTTCTTGATAGTGTCTTTTGAGGAGCAGAAGCATTTAATTTTGACCAAGCTCTCTGTCAGTTTTTTATGGTTATCATTTTCTGTGTCCTGTCTGGGAATATCAAATACAGAGTATAATCAGTTGAAAACAGTTTGGTGGATGCTTAAAACGTAAGCTAACACCTCCCATATGATCGGCCTTTAGGCTTCTAAATACTTACTTGAGTAAATTACAAAGATACTCTCTTATATTATCTTCTGAAAATTTATTTTTTTATAAAAAATTGGGAGTTTAAAAAAATTTGGGGTCAGTTTTTTTGTGGTATGGGGTGTGGGTTATAAAGTCAGATAAAACAATACTGCCACCACTACTACTTTTTATTTTTCTTTTTTCCCTCTCCCTCTCTTACTATCTTTTTCTGAAAGTCTTGAACATACACAGAGATAGAAATGTGTAATAAACCCCTGTGTACCCTTCCCCTAACATATGTAATGGTAAAATAAAGACGTTATTATATTACTAAAACATGCTCACACCCAACAAAGCTAAAATTACTTTGGTAATTTCATCAAGTTACCATTCCTATATCCTTGAATTAAAGTATGTGCATATATGTGTTATGTGTTTTTACACTTGTTTTGTTCAGATGAAATCCAAACAGAATTGACTGATTTCATTTGCTTGTTATGACTATTGGTTTCTTTCTTTCTTCTTTTTTTTTTTTGGTACTGGGGACCTTGCACTTGTGAGGCAGGCATCAGAACTACTGAGCTAAATCTCCGGCCTAATGATTTCTTTTTAATGGAGAACATTTTCATCCTCCATCTTCTCCTCTTTCTCCATGCATTTCCTTGCTGGAGAAAGTGGGAACCAGTTTTGTACAAAGTCCTGTTTTGGTTTGGTTGCTTCCTGTTGTTGCCATTTAGCTTGTTCTCCTGGTCCAGTGGTGTCGAACTCAGGGCCTGTGTGCCGCAGCAGCTGTCTGTGTCACTGAGAGCCCTAGAAGGTTGGTCAGAAGAGTACTTCCTGCGGCATCGCATAGGAGCTGTTTTACCTTTCACTAATGCTAGCCTTGATCAGCGGGTGTAGTGTTGGCAGCCTGAGCTTCCCACTGTCACCATCAGACCTTCTCATCGTGCCAGCATCCATTGCTGGTCATTGCCGGGGTAAATGAGCCGTGGACTGGGAGGTGCTTTTACATACTGTACACATGTTCAGGTGTTACTGGGGCTCTGCCGTGGTTACACACAGTGGGGTAGAGTTCTCAGTGGAGTAGTGTGGCAGGGGCAGAACTGAAGGCCTCACTTCACAGTAAGGGTCTGTGCGCGACCAGCAGCTTTTTACTGCGGTAGATTTAGAGCTCTTAGCATCAAATCACATGCCTTTGATGCTTCAAGGCCATTTCACGTCTAAATTATTATTTAAGAATTGATTGATATACTAAGATTCCAAGTGATAAAGAATTTAGACATACTCTTGGACTCTAGTTAATGAGATATCAGAGGTTGGCTACATATACTATAATTTGTGTTTGTTTTACATTAAGAGAGAATAATTAAAGCATCACAGTTTATGTGGTTCATGATGAATCCATTTGTAGAAATTATTGTTAAGCTTGAACATTTAAAAATGAGCATTTGAAAAATACTGTGTTGGTTTCTTCTCATTGCTGTTGGACACAACTACTCGAGTCGTGGTTTAAGAAAAGTACCTCATGGGCCAGGGATTTAGCTCAGTGGTTCTGCCACCTGCCTCGCAAGTACAAGGTCCTGAGTTCGATCCCTGGTACCAAAAAAAAAAAAGAAAAGAAAAGTACCTCACATCTCTGCCTGTGGCAGGTGCGAGCCCCAGGCAGCCTGGAGTCCGGCTGTGGTCTGGTGCTCCGCTCTGCTCACTCTGGTTCTCACTCATGGTGGGAAGCAGCTGCTGTGTCGTCCCCCCCCCCCCCACTGCCCTGGAAGGGAAAGCACAGTGGGAGGCTGGGGCCGCTACCTGTCTTTGCCCAGCACTGGGGGCAGAGAAGAGAAGGGGCCAGATGTGGGGCATGGGGCCATCTGTACCCAAGTGGTGGGGGTCTGCGGCCTGGGCGGCCCTGCAGTGGGGCAGGTCTGTGACAGGCAGAGAGACCTGCGTGTCACCCCTCAGCTCTCTCAGTCCCAGCTCAACCCTCTCTGGAGGAGGGGTGGCTCCTACAGAGAAACATGAGTTCTTGAAAAACTGAAGTGTTTCTAAAAGCACTTGATTACAATGGAACATGAAAATTTTCTCAAGGATATGTTATTAACTTATTTTTTCTTTAATAGGAAAATAAAAAATATTTCAAACGTAGTGAACTTGCAAAAAAAGAAGAGGAAGCATATTTTGAAAGATGTGGCTATAAGGTATGAATGTTACAGCTTTTACGTGGATTTGTTCATTTCTGAGTTTAAATTTATACAGTTGTTGTAAATGACAAAACTATTGATCTCTGTTCAATTTATCAATGTTATGTATTAGCCTGTAAGTGAGAAGCCACCTGGAGAGGTATGAGTTTTTGTTTTTGCTTTTTTAAAAAATAATTTTTGAATTCAGGAAAATACATGCATGACTTTTGGCTTGGAATGGTTTGGCTTTTGTGGACAGCATGAAGTGGCTTGAGATGAAAGCTTGAATTTTTTTATGCAAGTCCTGGATCTGATGCTGTCTTCTTTCCTCTCCTCCACCTCTCCCAATAAAACATTCTGTCTTCAAAGAGTACAAACATCCAGCAGTGGTCACTCGTCCCCTGCTTTCTCCCGCATATTTAAAGCCAGAATTTTACGTTTGCATTGTTAGTAATTCCTTCTGGGCCCTATTAGAGCAATTCTCCTACACATACCCCCACCTATGCTCGTCTGCTTTTGTCATAATAAGGTGCGGCTTTCCAGATACTGCCTAGTCTACTGGACAGAAAAACAAACACATTAGAAACAGATGACACATCTAAAAGCTCTGCTTGTCTATTTTAGAAGGATAACTGAAATTATCTTTGAGATTACCTAGTTGATGATGTCCTGGGTTTTTATTGGGAGGGGTTAAAGGTTACGAGGTGGAGAAGTTATGTTTAAGTTAAAAGAAGATGAATCATTTTAACTCACAGTTAAGAGGTTCTTTTGAAATACTTTTGCTAACTCGAATTTGAAATCAACGTTTTGCTTGTGAAAGGTCAATATTAAGTAATACTCTTGTGCATGTAATAGGGAAAATTGCAGAAATTAATCTGTGACAGTGTTTCTGAGGAAGCATGAGGAATGCAAATGGTCCGTACATGCATTTGGCTTTACTTTGTAGCATTGGGGAAGGCAAGAATTAAAGAAAAATGTCGTTATATTTCTGGTAGGCTTTTTAAATACGAAAGTTTATATTTGTACTTTGATATTTTTTCCATAAAGATATTGATTGTATTGGCTTCTAGTTCAGGAAATTAAAATAAGTTTATGTAAATAACCATTGTGTAGATACTTAGAAGACTTCTTATTTTTTTCCCAGTTCCCTTTCTTCTCTGTTTTATTCCCCAGTTTAGCTCTTCATAGTGTTTTTCTTAGTTTGTCTAGTGGCAGGAGTAATTCTGGGTGCATGTGTGTGTGTGACAGACAGTGACACTGAGAATTGAACCCAGGGAGTGCTGAGCTACATCCTGTCCTTTTTATTTCATCTTGAGACATAATCTTCCTAAGTTGCCTAGCAGGCCTTGAACTTAACAACCCTTCTGCCTCAGCCTCCTGAGTAGCTGAGTTTATAAGTGTGTGCCACTGCTCCCCACTAGAATTGTTGTTTTTTGCTCCCCAACATTGCCTTGCTCAAGTTTGACCTAGAGTAAGAATCAGTACCATAAATGAATCTCTTGACTTGTATTCTCAGTTCTCTAGATTTGAACCTTTTCAACTTTTTAATAAGGTAGGAAAGTGCAACATGGGAGCAGTTTTGCTGTGTGTCCACTGTCTGGTGATGTGGGGCCCTTGTTGCTTTATGAAGGAAAGCATTGGCACAGATTAAGGACTGTGATAATACTGCTTGGAACTTTGTGTCCAGCTGACAGTCTCTTAGATCTTTTCCCAGAGCTGTTAACTACCTTTATAAAATTAAAAACGCTTCTCTTGACGTTCTGGGGAAATAACCTGTGTGTGTGTGTGTGTGTGTGCTTACACAAAGCACAGGTGTTTCTTTCTAAAACTGTTTTTAATACTTCCTTCTTGGTGGCAGTGACGATGTCCTGTGCATTGCTTTTGTTCCTTCCTGGGTACTAGTTACTATTTTTTGTTGGTTTGTTTGTTTGGTACCGGAGATCGAACTCGGGTCCTTGCGCTTGCGCAGCAGGCGGCGAAACCACTGAGCTAAATCCCCAGCCCACTAGTTACTATTTTTAAGGCTCAGTGCTGATTTGACTTGCGGAAATATGAAAATTTTCCCTTAATTTTACCTCAGTGTCAGTTGGATATGGTAAATATAGCCTTTAAACATAAAGTACAGAATCATGAGTTACATAATTTTTATCCCGTAGTTTCTTTAACTGAATGTGAGCTTTTTCTTGATGTCGACCTTCTTTTAATGTTCCTTTGACTGTTAGCCACTTGCAGCATTTCAGGTGTGCCTTGGGCAGATGAGAAAGCAGCGTCTTTTCACAGACCACGCGAGTTTATAAATTGCAACTTTGTCAGAAGATTTGAGAAACTAGAGAAGCAGTTTCTCCCCCACAGGTTCACGTGGGCAGGAATGCCTGCTCTTTCCTTGGGTGCAAAGAGGGGGAATTTTTCATGATTTTTCTGCAAGATTTGTAGTTCAGTTTGTGGGCTGCACAGCATTGGGAGTTTTTCTGCTGGCCCGGTAGTGACTTCTCCAACATTGCAGTACCTTTCAGTAAGAAAAAGGAAACAACTAGAGCTTAAAGCTTCACAGATTTTTGTGGGAAAGCAGTTCTTTTCTCTAGTTTTCATTTTAAAGCTGAGCAGCAGTCAGTCCAGTCAAATAATTTCCAGAGGAGAAGCAAGCAGTTTTGAAGAAAAGACCAAACACCTTCAGAATCTGGGAGAAAGGGAGTGAGATTTTGGTGCTTTTGAGTTTGGATTTTGGAAACCATACAGTCAGTTATGTCACTCTTTGCAGCAAGAACTCTGTCTCCTGTGTGCATGCTTTCTACTTGCGATGCTCCTGAAGTGATGTTTGAGACACTCCTAAGAGCATGCACATTTATTAGGAGCTTTTCCCTCAGAGGAATGTTTAGAAAACCTTCTGTGTTTAAACATGTTTAATTTCCACGAATAACTAAGGTGATAGGACAAATATTAACTACATTTTATAAGCTGAATATTATTTATTTTGGCTATTAATATAGATACAGCCAAAAGAGGAGGACCAGAAACCACTAACTTCATCAAATCCAGTATTAGAACTTGAACTGGCAGAGGAAAAATTACCCATGACTCTTTCTAGGCAAGAGGTGAGTTCATATATGAGTGTTTTGTGGGAGGAAAGAAAAATGTCCCCAGTGTATAATTTTTGTGTCATTATTTCCTGTATAAGATGGCCTGTGCACCTAAGACAGTTTTCTTCATGAGATTCTAAATTAATCTCTCCTTCTTTTCTTTCCTTTTTTTGGGGGGTGGGGGTGGGGTTTTTTTTTGGTACTGGGGATTGAACTCGGGTCCTTGCGCTTGCGCAGCAGACAGCGAAACCACTGAGCTACATCCCCGGCCCTTCCGCATCTTTTCTTGATAGTATCATTTTACTTTTTAAAAACAATATATCATAAACCTTGATATGCATATAAGTTCTAAATATAATTAAATTCATGTATCCTAAATATAAATTATTATATCTAGATTATTTTAAATAATATTTTGCTACTTACCTTTCTCTTCCTTATTTACTTACATGTCTTTCCAGAGTAAAACAGAGAGCTGCACACTGTTTAGTGGCAGTGTAACTTCCTGTTGTGTACTTGCACCTTAATAATTTTTTGGGGGGTTACCAGGGATCGAACTCAGGACCTTTCACCTGTGAGGCAGGCAATGGCACCACTGAGCTAAATCCCTGGCCCGACCCTTTTATTGATTTGTCATTCGCATGTCTGTGTGTTAAAGATGCCAACCAGTACTTCAGATGTGCATATTTTTACCAGTGTGCCCTTTGTTTCTGACATGCATGTTTTACATTTTTCCATGATCGTATTGAACATCGTGTGTTTGATCTTGGATGCTATGCTTTAAACATTTTACCAAACCCAAGGAGTTAAAAATATGTTAGTATTTTCCCCTGCCTTTATGAACTCTTTCTTTATATGGTTTTTCTTTATGTTTTGATTAATTTCATATCTAAAATGAACATGTATTAATTGCAAAATTAGAGAAATTTAAAATCTTGTGTCACATATTTTAAAATTTTACTAAAATATTTGTATTAGAAAAAAAGTTCATCTATTAGAATTTGCTTTATATACCTGCCTTTAAACATTGTAAAGTTTGGATTAAAAGGCAAAATACGTTTAAGAAGTTGATCTTATGAGTTCAATATTGTGAATCGTTGTTACTGGTAACAGTTGAATATCCTGTAACGTTGGTAGGGGGTAGTTTCTCCCCTCACTTACGGAAGGTGTGTTGACAGTAAGAGAGGACTCGGAGGCGTAAGTTTTCACTCATGACCCTTTTGCTTTCTTTGTCACCTTCTTTGGTATCTGTTTCTGTATTTAAAAATTAGAATAATAGAATTCTCATATTATTTTGAGTTCAGATTGTTATTATCTTGCCTTAAAGCTGAACCATTGTCATATAATCCCACATAGATGAGAGCTAGCCATTAAACTGATACATGGGAAAGCATTACATCATTCTCGTAACTCAGTTTAAGGTACTGTATTAATAGCCTCGATTTTTTTTTTTTTTTTTGGTCCTGGGGATCAAACTTAGGATCTTGTGCTTGTGAGGCAGGCACAGTGTCACTGGGCTAAATGCCAAGCCTTGAATTTTGAGCAGTATTTTGACGTACTAACTGCACAAATTCTCCCTCTCTCCTTCCCTCCCTGTTCTTTCAATTTTTGATTGGCTCTCAGTCATTTAATCATCCTCAGTCTGTGAGTCAGTCCTGAGCGTGACCTGTGCGTGTTGTGTACATGCCTGGTTGTGGGTAGGGATGAATGTTGGCACTAGAAGTACAGCATGTAGACCAGAAGACTGGGCCGTTTGTACTTCTCACAGATGAACACACTTGCGGTATTACTCTTTGGCTCTGTGTTCCACATTTTTAGGTTGGATGTTGCACAAGAAACCTCTCAGAGGAATGATGACTCTAGAAGCTTCCACATGAAAATTAGGTGAAGGCATTTGGAAACTTAGCCTGAGAAGAATTATAGAGATGCTTTTTAAAAAGCCCATTGAAGACAGTCCTAATTGGGGGAAAGCATTGAATGTTCTCTGTGGTGACACAGAGTGAAAGGAGAAAAGAGCAGAAATCCCAGGGAGGTGGATTTCAGCACTGAGAAGCAAGACGTACCTGTGCAAAAGTGGGATAGGTGTTTCATAAAGAGATGTGGTGCCTGTTACTTACCAGACAGGGACGTAGCTCAGTGGCCCTGCGCCTGCCTGGCAAGCTCAAGGTCCTGAGTTTGACTCCTGGTACCAGAACAACAGCTTAGCAGACAGGAGCCTGTCAGGGACATTTTCAGGTCATTTCTACATGGATTGGAGGTAGTACTAGAGGACCTTTTGCATTTCCTTCTTAATCCCAAGCCACTATTAATCCAAGGGGGATGGACCTTCCAGATAGTTCTTATTTTTAAAAAATTTGGTCCAACCTTAATTTTCATAATTATGTTTTTTGTTTCAAAGAGAATATAAAATGACTATACCATGTACATAAAAAAACGTATAAAATATTGCAACATAGTGGATAATTAACAAAACAGACACCCATATAACCACCACCCAGGTCATGAAATCCAGTCCGCACCTCCAGAGCCTTGCAGATGCCCACTTCATCTAACTCCCTTTCCCTTCCAGGGAATGAGGTTTGGGTTTCACTGCGCTCTTGCAGTGCCTGCTCCTCATTGTGGTCACGGAGTCATCAGCTGACTCCAAAGTTTATCTTCCTTCTTTAAATACATACTATCCTTGGCTCCACTTAGTGTTGTCATTCTGCCTAGTGTGTATCCTGCTGCATGGATTGACCTACCTGAAACAGGCAGCTGAAGGACCTGAATTAGATGTGGTCATAATACAGCGTTATCTATTTATGGGAAATTAAGGAAAACCAAGCAGAACTTATTTTAGCATCAACATTTCAAGACAAGTATTTGGTCACCTAAAATGATGTGTTACCATGAGGGATAGCAGTTGTCTTTCTCTGCTTTTTTAAATGAGACCGAGCAGTTATAATTATGTAAAATGAGGGCCCTATTGTGTCTTTAGGAGGTTTTATGTGCTCGTGTATGTGTCTTACAAAAACATAGATGCTTTGTATTAGGGGCTCGCTTTAGCTTTGAATTGTAGATTTGTGCCACTTTCAGTAATAACAGCCATTCAATCAAAATTTTAACAGTGACATCTGAGTCAGACTTTTAACTAAAGTATTTTCTTTCATTAATAGACATCTTTGTGTAGTCTAATTGAAGTGATTGAAATATTTGAAGGATTTTAGATTTCTCTTAGAAGCATGGATTTGAATAATCAGCTTTTTAAAATCCATGTTTCAGTTTAAGGTAAAATATGCAAACTGTTTTAAGATGTTCAGTTTTTTTCCTCTTCAAAAGTTAAATAATGTATTGGGCATTTGTTTCTCTTTATAGGTAATCAGAAGATTGAGAGAAAGAGGAGAGCCAATTAGACTATTTGGAGAAACTGATTATGATGCTTTTCAACGATTAAGAAAAATAGAAATCCTCACACCAGAAGTTAACAAGGTAAAGAGTCAAACCAGAACTGGAAAAATACATGGTATCACATAAACTAGGATAGCTTGGAGTTTGATGGATGGCATTATTACAGGCAAAAGTGGAAAAATAGTTACTGCTGCTGAAGGTAAGATTTCTTTAAGAAAAAAATATATATCTTAATCATACAATTCAGTACATTTTGACAGATACAAGTATTCATAGAACCACTACCTTTACCAGGATACAGAAGGCTCTCATTACCTCAGAAAGCCCCCTAGTGGTCCTTCTGAGCCAGTTCTCATATTCCTCCTCTGTCACCATTGATTAACTTGGCTGGTCCTGGTATTTCAAACGATGCGCTCAGTGTATGTGGTGTCTTTTGCTCAACATAACGTTTTTTAGTTTCATCCATGCTATTGCAGACGTCACTAGTTTCCTTTTCATTGCCCCCTGATAGTCAGTTACATGAATGTACCACAGATTGTTTTATTTATTAATTGGACTGTTACCGTTTTGTTAATGGATTAAGAAGTTCTTTATTCTAGATTACGCCGTTTGTCAGGTATACAGGTCTATTTTGTGAGTGTTTTCTCTTGGTGTGTGGCTTATTCTCTTAATGGAATCTTTTGCTGAGCAGTTTTAAATTTTGATAAAATTCAGTTTACTAGCTTTTCCTCTTATGGTAATTTTTTTTTGTTTTTTGCCTATCCCAAGGCCTCTAAAAAATACTCTTTTATTTTCTTTCAGGAGCTTCATAGTTTTAGCTTTTACATTGGAGGCTTTGACCTTGTTTTATGGTTCGGTATGTTTTTGCCTTGTTTATGCAGTTCTAGAAATGTCAGTTACGATAGTTTTTTCAAGTCTTCTGTGGCCTCTAACTTGCTCTGTCAGTTACTGTGAGGGACAGGTATGGTTATTTGTGGCTGTGTAACAGTCCACCCCGAATCTCAGTCCCTGAAATGTGGCAGTTGGAGGTAGTGTGTCATTCTCACAGCTGTGTGGTTTGATTGGCTAAGCTGGGCAGTCTTCTGCGTGGGCTCTGCCCTGTGATTGCAGTTAATGAGGGTGTAGCTGACGTCACCTGAAAACTCCCTACGGATCCTCTCAGATGGTGCCTCACTGCTCGGATGGTGCCTCACTGCTCGGCTGGAACAGCAGGAATAGCTGAGGGGCTGGTCAGGCATCTCCTCTCCATGCGTTTTGTTTGCTGGCTTGCTTTCCTGACTGCTTGCCTTATTCTCGGGCAAACTGCTTTCCTGCTTCACTTCTCGGCATTGCTGTTCCAGTCCCATGGCACTGTCAGTTGCCTGAGCGCTTTCAGTCCTCTGAGTGTACAGTGATCACTTCCCGTGCTCATGATTCCCTCCCCTGTGCCTGGTTCAGTCTGTTCTTATCCTTTCACACACCTCTGCATCTAGCCATGGTCCCAGTCAGAATTACTTGCTTCCTTTTCTGTACTCCTTTAATAAAGTTTTGTCTGTGCACATTTCTCTCATCCTGTTGGGCTGGGGCTGTTCAGCTTTTGTGTGTCAGGTCTAGGGCTTTGCATAAGAGTGCAGGACTGAAAGGTCTGGGTTCCGTTCCAGGAGCATAATTATTAATTGTGTGACCACTGACAAGTTTTGATCTGCTCTGAGAGACCTCGTTTGTAGGGGAGAGGCAGTGGCATTTTTCTCACTGTGATGTTGAGAGGATTAAATGGAATAATCTTGGGGAACCCCTAGCCTTACACATTATACCTAACAAGTACCCCAGTCAGTGTTTGGTCAGTTGAAAGTGTTTTGAGTTGAATGTTTACGGAAGGACAGCCCAAATTGACCTGGTGCCTTTAATATAATAATGTGAAGAGTTAACGTTTGTTGGATGCTGACTGCCTCGGTGACTTGAATGTTCACTGTACACTTATTAACACATTTAAATGACTTGATATTTGCAAGCCTTTTGAAACAGTCCTATTATATAGTAAATGTTGAAAGAAATTTTAAACATACAGAATGGTCCTAACAGCTGTACATCATAGGTGGTATTATTCATGTGAGGCATGCAGAGGGAAGGGGTGTTGTCTGAGTGCTGGAGTCCCACGGAATTGAACTCGGTGACCTTCACTCCTGGCCACAATGCTGAAGCCATTCCGCAGCCCATGCGTGACTCTCAACTCTCACAGCTGATTTTCATTCATGTTGTGGAAACTGAGGCTTCCTCTTTTTTTTAAATTAAATAATCACACCGTGGAAATGCATGGAATGTGGAATTTGCCAGGTTGTTAGAGATGAAGTCGAGAGCACACAGAGGAGACACCAGCTTTATTCCACAGATACTTGTGACTGATTATGGGGCTCAGAGTAGTTGAAATGAGGCTGGACGTTTAGGTGACCTGGGAAAATGGTGAGGGGAGTCCAATGGGGGCTGCTTTCATTCCCACATAGCCTCATTGCACAGTTCCGACTGGGTGAAGATACTTGTTACCTGATTTGTTGCTCGGGTCTGTTTTATTTCCTGTCCATCTGCTGGCGTTGTGCATACATTCTCCTAGGTTAGATATATTGTAGGAACTGACTTGGACTGGCAGTGATGACGGTGCTATAGACAGTATAATAAATGGACTCATTACTTGAGTCCACAGTTTTGCCATGTTCTTAACTTCTTGGAGAGAAAAATGCAATACAATTGTCATTAAGGAATACAGTGTCCTAGTAGGTGTTCTTTCTCTCCAACCTTTCATAGGGCTTGAGGAATGATCTGAAAGCGGCTTTGGATAAGATCGATCAGCAGTACCTCAATGAAATTGTGGGTGGTCAGGAACCTGGAGAGGAGGACACACAGAATGACTTGAAAGTCCATGAGGAGAACACCACGATTGAAGAGTTAGAGGTAATCCCTGTGTGCACGCGTGCATGCCCTGCATCCCATCACCCATCCCCAGAGTGCTCACTGCAGCGCATGTTGCCCTCTTGGGCCAGCGCCATGGCTCTTCTTTGTTCTGTGCTTTCGTTCATTTATCCTTCTTCTCACTCTGTTCATAGCCCCCTACTCTTCCGTTCAGAAGTAGCCATTGTAATGTGTTTGATGAGCGTCCTTTTGTTGCTGGTATTCTTGTAAAGACTACAGTGTAGCATGTGCATAGATTTCTGATTTATGTAAATAATATTGTGTTGTGGTACTCTATTTCTTTTTCAGATCATTTTCTTTATTAGCACATGTATGTGGCACTTCATGTTCCCATTCCTTGTGTGGAATTGGTGCATGTACATAGCATGTTACTCCTGCTTTCATCCCCTCGCCACCCCCTCCCTCCTTCTCTGGATCCCCTTCCCCTTTGAGAAAGATCTGTGTCCCTGCTTCCTATCATCTATCTTTTATTTTGTTCTTTATTTGTATTTTGGGTCTCTACTCTTTATTTTTTTACTTTTTACTTTCTGTTTTGTTTTTTTCCACTTTATTCTGCTTTTGAGATCCATCCTTGATGCTTTAGGTACATTTAATGCTTTGCTTGCAGTTGCTAAATATCATGACTTTCACTGCATTTTACTTTTTGTCCCTCCATAATGATGGACAATTGTATTGTTCCCAGCTCAATATTGACCACAGTCAGCTTTGTGGTGAACAGTTTTTGCAAAACTGTTGTGGACTGAAACAGCAGGATTTGGGATTTATGCATGTATATTTAACTTGTTGAGTACTGCCACGTTGCTCTCGGCAGGGATGTTCCTACCCACACCCCCGCCAACAGCTTGTGAGCACCTACATCCTTACATCCCTGCCAGCACCTGGCAGTGTCTTGCTTTAATTTTACCGCTGTGTTGAATGTGGAATGATATATATAATCTTAATTAAAAAGCAGTGTTGTATCATGTAATTATCTAGCACGTTAAAAAAAATTTGGTTTAAAGTTTTTTAATGCTTAATAAAACATAAGCTGTTATTTTTCTCTTTCCTGTAGTTTCTGGTTCTTGCGCATGTGGCAGTCTGAAGAGTGACATCATAGTTGAGCAGGATGTCATCTTAATCTTCTCCTTTCCCCATCACCTGTCTCAGGTGGTCCCTGCGTTTCACTGAAATAACTGGTTTGGTCAACCAGTTATTAGACCGGTCCTCCCTCCCTCCCTTCCTTCTCTTTCTTACTTTTTTAAAAACAGCTTTATTGAGATACTTGCATACTATGCAATTTATCCATTTAAAGTATACAATTCAGTGGGTTTTTGATACATTTACAGGGTGGCACAACAATCATTCTAGTCTAATTTTAGAGCATTTTTGTTTCTCCCAAAAGAAATTTCATATCCATTAGTGGTTACTGTCTTTACCCTCCCATGCCTTTAGACACATAAAAGACAACACGCTTTCTAAATAGAAGTGGCACATCAGTGTTTGGTTTTTAGCATGTCTAGAAGTTGCCGCAGGTTTTTATATCAGAGTTGAATGCTGCCTGTGACAAGGAGCTCCGTCTGGTCTGGGGCTGCTCGTGTCCATGTGTTCAGTGTCTGCACGTGCTCAGTGTACTCTGGGTAATGAGTGCACCTGATGTTCCTCTTCTTCAGGCCCTGGGAGAGTCTTTAGGGAAGGGCAATGATCACAAGGACATGGACATCATTACCAAATTCCTGAAGGTCAGTATCTTTCGCGAGGGGAGGGGAGGGGAAGGCATTTTGAATACTTAAAAGCATGTCTTGTATTTTTGTACTGTCAGATGTTTAAGGTCAGAGAGGGACTTCTCAGTAAACATTTGTGTGTATATATACTTTGTGATATTGCTGTGTATTTTTATGTAGTGGTTAATGAAAGAAAATGTATGTTTATGTTTTCATGGCTCTTTTCTTGAAAGCTGATTAATTGAACATGTAGGAAAGAATTCCCACAGCAGAATATACAAGTTTGGAAGCATTTCCTCACTTTGGGAAACACCCCAGGAAGGTGTGCAGCACAGGGTCCCAGAAGCCTGAATGAGAGGGCAGGGAAAAGAGGGAAGGGCATTGGCAGTGCACAGGGAGGTGCATCTGTCGCCTTGGGGGGCTGTCCCTGTGTTCAGTTCTGCACCAGCATTTCTGTCGTTAGTGGGCTAGAGTGCGGGCAGTTCCCAGGTGCTCTTTAATGTTTACCCACAAACTGAGCTCAGAATAAGATTTCAGTGCAGGGAATGCTTTTACTTGCATTTCCATTTTAAAATAAGATAAAATAAATAAATAAATAAATAAATAAATAAATAAATAAATAAATTGAGGACACAGCATGGACCGAGACACAGACAGTCGTCTTCGTCTGAGTGACAGCTCTCCTGTGTAGGTGAGATGGGATGTGTGTCCGCCTTAGCCTCCACAGAAATTCAGATGGGTGTCGCTTAGACACTTGGATGCCACGGGCTCTAGGATGGTTTTCTGGGGTGGGATTAAGGAGGAAGGGAATGGATCACAGTCTGTTTTATTTTTGTGCCTGTTTTTCCTTTGTTCTTCATTAGGTGATTTAGTGAAAATTTTTAATTGAATTATTGTCTATAGTACATGAGTAGAAAGTCTAAATGCTATAATATATGTGGAAGACTGATGAACTATACAAGTGAATATGATATACTATGGATGATAGATCTACATTGGTTGCATTTTATTTAATAAACTTCAGATAGTTATTTGATAGTATTTTTTTGAGTAAGTGGATTAACTTGAGCCAGGAACATGATACACAGACCAGGGGAGTTTGTGACTTGGTAAAATACTTACTTTGAACTTACTGAGCCACTGGGTGGCGTTGTAGTCTCAATGTACCCGTTCTCTCAACAGTTTCTGCTTGGTGTTTGGGCTAAAGAATTGAATGCCAGGGAAGATTATGTGAAGCGCAGTGTGCAGGGTAAACTGAACAGTGCTACTCAGAAGCAGACTGAGTCCTACCTCAGACCACTTTTCAGAAAGCTCCGCAAAAGGGTGAGGTTTCCAGAACATGGTTTTATTAACTAGTTTTGCAAATTAGAATATGTAGATGGAGAATAAATGACATTTATTTTTCACCTCACATAGTAGCTACTAAAATGAGTTATGCTTTTTTTTTCTTTTCCAGAATCTTCCTGCTGATATTAAAGAATCAATAACAGATATTATTAAGTTCATGTTGCAGAGAGAATATGTGAAGGTACATTTTAATTATGCTGTGCATTGGCATTGCTATGAGCATATCTAGGTTACTGTGTAATGCAGTGCTATTTGGGATGGGAGAATGTTCCTTAATACATTAAAGAATAAGTACTAAGTCAACTAGTAGAAAAAATGCTATTCTCCATTGTTTTCTCAGTGCTGCTGTTAAGCATTGACTGACAGCACTTCTGTCTGCAGCTGTATTTCCTTGGTCATTTTGAAGTAGGGTGAAAGGTCCTTCAGAGCACAAGCAGTGTGAAGCAGTGTTCTTGTGAATGGGGTTGAATTTTGAGGTTTATAAAGGTTAGTTAGGGTTTAAAGCAAGCTCTCTCATAGAAACACTGTTGTATAGATTCATTTCCCAGACCGGCTCTAAAAGCCCCTTTAATAGTAATATACCTGAACGTGCAGGCGATAGAGTGGAGCCCGATGCTCCTTGTCATCGTATCGGAGAGTGGCCAGGGCGCCTCTCCATCTCTGCAGCACTAGCGGACCTCTGCGGGGTGCCCTTCTCCTGCCTTGCAGTGTCTCTGCTGTGGAAGGTGCTGGGAGCGCGGGCAGCAGTGGGAGAGCAGCTGGGCACACAGGGCCTGCGGGGAGGGTTTGGAAGGTAGTGGGGGCCGCTGCTGTGGTAGAAGGGAGAGCTGTGTGCTGGTACCGGGGCGCGGAGTTGAGGAGGGGCTTCTGGCTATGCCTCCAAACAGCTGGAGGATTCAGCACAGCAGTCCTGGTGAGGGGAAGAAGGGACTGCTGGTGACTGGACAGCTTCTTTGATTAGAGCATTAGGCCAATGAGACTAACAGCCAAAGGGGCGTCAGGGCCCCCACGGAGTTTCTGTTAGTGTATCAGGTCAGCTACCTGCCAGTTCCAGATCGGAAATGTATTTGTTTCCACTGCACAAGGCTTTGAAGGAATACTTGTCCTTTTTACTCACAACTTTAGCTTTGGTTTCTGTTTCCCCATGGGCATTTGTGGGTCCCAAGCGGGGCAGTCACTTCATATTTTAATGTCTTTTATTTGAATGACAGGAACATAGTATTTTCAAAATGCCCAAGAGGGGAACGAAAACTGTCATAAAACTTTAGACTAACACAATATTTGTTTGCTTTTCTGATCTGTTAAACTTTCCTTCAGGCGAATGACGCTTACCTTCAGATGGCCATTGGAAATGCTCCCTGGCCTATCGGAGTCACCATGGTTGGCATCCATGCCAGAACTGGCAGGGAAAAGATTTTTTCCAAGCACGTTGCACATGTATTAAATGATGAAACTCAGCGGAAATATATTCAAGTAAGTAGTCTGGGGGGACGAGATTTGCCATAAATGTTCCTAATTCCCAAACTTAAAAGTCTTAAGAGCAGCAACAGAATCGCAGTCGCTCCTCTCCTCTGTGGAGGTCAATCTCAAGACGCCCGGCGGATGCCTGAAAGAAATTAAACCTGCAGATAGAGGAGGACTCCTGTGTAGTGAGTAGGACACAGCACAGCAGGGTGAAAGTGCACTTTTGGTAAACACATTCACTAGAAGTCCTTTGGCTTTTCTGTGTGGTGGAAGACAGGGTCAGGTGTTACACTTTGATTGTCCTAGCCCAGAAATAAAATTATTGCAGTTTGCTTTGAAAAAAACACACAATTTGGGAGTTCAGTGAAGAGCAACAAGTTGAGAGGATTTCCTAAGTCCCACTTTACTTTCAGTGGGGATCCAGTACCTACTAGGCTAGAAGGTACGGGGAGCAAAGACAGGGCTTCAGTGCAAATAACCACTTCGAGGAGCAGTAACAAAACTCTTGTAATTGCATGGCTAGGTCTAAAATGTTTGCAGTTATTTTCTTAAAATTGTACATATCTCATACAGGCTTGTTAGCACTGCTGTTGGGCAAAACTTTTCTGAAAATGTGAAGGAAAAAAAAACCCAACTATAATCTAACTTTGCAAAATTGTCATAAATCCCAAATTGTTTCTGCATAATGACTTTTGTTGGATGGTAATTCTAAAATTTGAAGATGATACTCTGGAAGTTTACTTCAAATTTAAAGTTTGCTTAAAATGCATAAAGTGCTTTCAAATTTTATGCCAGAGAACAGTCATTACCGTATTCATGAATTATCTTGTTTGTATTTTAGTTCCAAGTGCCAAATGTTAATTTTCGTGTCATGCTTTATGCTTCATTCACATGCATTAGCATTTAAAATATTTCATCCTGCCTTCCCAGAGCCACTTGTGGGCTTTATAAATTTCAAATACACTTGTGCAGATTCAGGCACATTTCCATTTCTTCATAGCCACCAGTGTCTGTATTAAAGGCAAAAGCTTTTAGTCGAAGATAAAAAGTTAACTTGGTTTTAACAGTAGAATACATTTCATGGACCACATCTACCCCACGGTCAGAGCTGTAGCATATATGAATTCCTATATTAGATGCATTCTCTGGAGGACAACAGTCGGTCCTGTGACCCTTGTAGGTAGGGCGTAGTCAGGGTCTCATGGCTTGCTGGCTGAGGCGTCAGTGAGCAGTAACAGTGGGTCCACGTCACCTCAGGTGAATGCTAGTGACACGTGGCAGAGTTTTTAGTGACCTCGGTACCTTCGTGGCACCATGCAGGTGCAGCGTTAGGTGCCAGTCAGTGCTTCACCTCTCTGTTGTTAGAGTCACTGTTGTCACAGGGCGGGAATTTAGTTGTGTTTTTAGACATTGATTTTCTTTTTATGAGAAGGTTTGATCTTGGCTTTTTAAAAAAATATGCTTCCTTATTTTTAAAACATTGGCACCAAATTTTAAAAAATAAACATTGCGTGAGGATGAGCAGTAGGCCAATTTGTGATCCTGTGGGCCACAGCTTTCTGAGTTGTGGTGACTGTGTAAACTCAGATCTTCTGTGCTAAGATATTTGCTAAGGAAGTCATTGTAAAAGTCATTTAACTGAGTAATTATTTCTTTTAAAATTGAGGTATAGGACCAGGGATTTAGCTCAGTCCCAATGAGCCTGCCTTGAAAGTGCAAGGTCCTAAGTTTGATCCCCAGTACTGGAAAAAAAAAAAAAATTAAAAATAAAATTAAAATTGAGATATATTTCAGTAAATGCTGTAATGCTTGATGTGCACTACTAACCTTAGCCGGGTAGCCCCATGACTCTTGATATGTGTGACGTACACGAAGCCATGAAGCGAGATCTAGATCTAGAACGTTCCTGGAGCACCCAGCAGCTTCCTTCACATCTGTTTGCAGCCAGGGCGCTTCCTCCCAGCAGCAGTGACCTCTGTTCTGATGTTGTTACTGTTCAGTTTTGCTTCTTCTTGGACATCATGTAAATGTAAACTTGGAACATGTGGAGTAGTCATTTTTTATTTGAAATGCTGGTGTAATATCTGTTTCATGAAATGTGAGAAAATGATTCAGAAGACTATTTCACCGGAGTATGATTTCATCTTTTGGTTTTTATGCAAACCTCTGTAGATTTAAACTATGGAAGTTGTTTGAAGTGTTCTTTCTCATAAAAATTAAGACACCACAGGGGTTTCTCACCATGTGGATCAAAGGCAAGTTGCAGAGCTTATTAGCTCAATTCAGGTCTGGGGTTGGATTTAAATTGGTGGTAGTAGCTTCTAGGACTTTGCTCACTGTACCAAAATACAGATAGGACTGTTAGGCCCAGGTATGAAAGCTTCTTTTACACAGAGTTTAGGAAGCTCTGGATTATGTAGAAAGTGTTACTCAGTCATTTCTAGACATCTGTCATGAGGAAGAGAGGGTGGTAAACAAGGAAGATAGAGCAAAATGCACGTCAGAGGCTGGTTGACCCCTGCCAGCCCTCCTTCACCCTTCTTCACCTACTGATTTTGTGAATGGCATTGACATGCTCCCTCCTCCTCTGGCTTTTGCATAGGCTGGCAGTGAGAGGGACCTGGAAGGGTGTTTTCTCACAGTGAACAGGTGTGGGCTGCGTGTTTTCCTGGTTCTTCCCTCCAGAGCTCCTGGAGGTGCCACACCCTTCTGCCCAAGGCCTAGGTGACAGACAGGTACCCTCTCCCTTGCCCTTCAGCACTCTGCTGGCTACAGCTTCTGAGGGTACCGTAGTCTGCGCCTTGTTCCCCACTCCTTTGTAAAGTCCTTGGAACTGCTGCTGTCACAATATCCGGTCTGAGTGTCCTTTTTGTCCTGCCACTGTCCTCTGCAGTATACACAGAGTAATTGATGTGGGTTGTGTTACACAGATTTCTTTGGGGGTTAGAAGATTAAGGAATAATACTCATTCCAAGTAATTTTTCTTAAGCTTTTGCTATTACAAAAGGAAAAATATTCTGTAGTATTCTCCAGCTAATTGTTTTCAGTAACCCTAAATTTTGTAAATTCTCTAGTAAGACAGTATTTCAACATTTCATGTCGGGTGTGTATGCGCACACACATTCGTAGCTCAGGTTTGGCGTTTCACCTACATTCGCATTTGCACATCTTCTTTGTCCGTAGGACGTTTGCAGATTTCTGCTGTAGCCGTGTGTTTCCAGAGTTACTCTGTTGGAAGCAGTGGTCACAGCTTGGTGCGCTGTGGTTACTGGACATGCTCCCCGGGCACCGTGCTCATGCTGTGCGGTACATGTCTGTAGGTCACGTGGCTTCAGGCTATAGCCTGGCATTCTTGGCTTTGACGAACCATTTCCCAACGGTAAATTGTTGCATGGTAAGAACCACAACCCATTTGATACTTTGTGGGGTATTAACACAATATATTTTAGAGAAAAATGCTGCTAGCATTTATCTTTTATAGATACCACCTTTTATTTAGCAACACAGAACGTCAGTGTGTTATGGAATCCCGTCTTGAGCAGTGCTGATCTAAACTGTGCTGTGCTTTTGTTTAAGATGGCAGCTGGCCGTGGTGGTGCACGCCTGTGATCCTGGCACTTGGGGGAGGCTGAGGCAGGAGGATTGCTGTGAGTTCAAGGCCAGCCTGGGCTACGTAGTGAGTTCAAGGCCAGCTTGAACTGTAAAGTGAGATCCTGTCTCAAAAAAAAAAAAAAAGATTGATTTGGATTAGTAAGTGTTTAAGATGGCAGCTTACTTGATAGGAAATAGGCATTTTAATATATTAAATCTTACATTTCTCAACCACATGCATAAAAAAAGGCCACAGTACCCTCCACAAGGAAAGACTGGTGGTCATGTAAATGTCATCTTTCCCCAAATTAGAGAAAAGAAGTAGGTCAGTTACAAAGGATCAAGGACTGAACTGCTGTTGTGGCTCCTCATTAGTGCCACTGGAAAGTGGAGCAGTGCCTTTGTGATAACGAGGGCAGGAATTAGTTCCCTGTCCTTCTGCGCCCTCAGTGGAAGGTGAGCACAGGCTGATGGTGCTTCTGACAGGTAACGTCTCAAAGATGTGGCCTCTAAACATGTGTTCTCTGGGGTCATCACAGCTGACGCCTATGTAGCATTTACTCTGTGCACTTGACAGGAGCAGTGTGTGGTGGGTGTTGTCTCCCTGCCCCATAATCGGGAAACTGAGTGACAGAGACGCAAAGCTTCAAGGCCCTGCAGCCAATAAGTGGCGGATTTGGGGTTTGGACATAGGAGCCTCGGCTCTAGTCTGGTCCGCTGCCTCTGTCCTGGGACTGAGGTCCAGCTCAAGGCAGGGTGAGAAGAATCTTGGAGGTGAAGGAGAAGGGGCTCCCCAGGATGGTAGCAGAACAAGGGGGTCCAGACTGCAGCACAAGGAAAGATGGGTGAGATTATACAGACGGTCAGTTTGGTCCTGTGTCTCACTGTTGGAGAATAGTCAGAAAAGGAGAAATGTGAGGGTGGGAGTGGAAACAGAGGTCCTCATAAGCAGAGGGCTCTTTGGTACCCTTTACCGGGTCAGTTCTGAGTATTGGCTTCGCACAGAGCTGTGGTTCAAAAAGGACACGTATGTTCACGTGTGGGACCAAGTGGGCGTGGTATGAGTGAGTGAAATCCTCTGGCTTCGTGGTGGAAAGTTAGTGGGTGACACATGAAACAACAGTCAAGCAGAACCAGCCTGGACTGCATAGCAAGGCCCTGTCTCAAGAAACAAAACAAAACAAAATAAATAAAATTTTAAAATGAAGTAAAAAGTCAAAACACCACCAGCTTTTAAGCTATTTCTCACTGAGCTAAACTACATAGTTTTATCTGCTTAAAAATCCACAAATAGTTGAAACTGAAATCCTGAGGGACAAATTGAAAAGATTTGTTTCCAATTGGAAAGTAGCTACATGTTTTCCTGAGATCATTCACCTTTAAAGATCTGCTGTGTGCTTTCAGTCTCTGTTGCACAC